ATAACTAGTAGAATTTGATTTTGGATTGAGGTTAGTGGAAGAGCAAGACATTTTAGGGTGCCTTTCTTCTTTATATTCTTTATGTCTGGATTAAGGATGATTTATCATTGATATTCTGTATGATATTGGTGTTTTTCTCCTCATGAGATTTTGAAATGGTAGATTTGACTATCTGTTTTTAATTCATCCTTTTGGGATGTAGGTTGGTTTGAAAGATTTTATGAAAATACAGTCCCACCCAGTAGTATGGAAAGTAATTTGGAATGGGGTGAGACTGCAGAAAGGGCGACTATACTCCTGTCTAAAATGTTTAAAGGTTTGTCATTTTATTTGCGACAAAGTTTAGATTCATTGGAATGGCAGTATATTAAGTAGTGTTTTTTAATTCCCAAATGGGATGTTTTCTAGAATATTTCTGTTGCCTCAGTAGAATTAAATATTTAAACATTACATTTAATTCCTAAAGATTATTTTGTTTAATAGTATGAGTGATAATAGACCAAACAATTCTATAAAAATTAGGCTTTGTTCATATTCTCATCTCTATTAGTTTGCTTTGCTTATTTAAAAATGAATTTACTTTAGTAGTGACATTTATAATATTAGTGATTTGTTTATTTTACAAAAAGCAGTTGAAAAAAAAAAACCCAAATAGTCTAATGCCTACTGAAAGGTTCAGGGTATGTTTTGTTGAATGACATGCACCTTGGTGTCAGCCCTCACAGAGCCCACAGTCTAGTAGAGAAGGAGTCAGTCAGCAAACGAAGCAAAGAAATATAATACACATACACACATGCAATTTTTAAATTGTGGCAAGTGCTACAAAGGAGAGGATCGTGTTTCAGGAGTGTGGTCAGGGAATGTCGCTTTGGGAAGGTGAGGTTTTAAGTCAAGAACTGAAAGAAGAAAAGCTAGCTGTGTAAAGACTAAGGGAAAACAGCATTTCAGGCAGCAAGAATGACATGTGCTAAGGCCTGAAGTTAGCAAGACACTTGGTGTGTTAAAGAAACTGAAAGGTCAGCATGGTTGGAGCAGAGTGGCTGAAGAAGAAGAGGTACAAGTTGATTTTGGAGAAGTCATCAGGCCTCAAGTCATGTGGGGGCTTTGGAGGCTGTGGTGTAAGGAGTTTGAATTTTACTTATAGTGCATTGGGAAGTCAGCAGACAGAGGCTGGGGAATAACATGATCTGGTTTATATTTAAAAAGGTATTTGGGCTTTTAAAAGTATAGACTGGAAATCAACAAACGTAGAAGCACAGGGACTAGTTGGGTTGTTGAAGTACTGTTAAGAGATCAAGGGGTCTCGAATAGGGTGAGTGCAGTGGAGGGGAAAAGGAGTGGAAAGAATTGAGATATATTTTAGAGATGGTCTCTAGCAATGATGTCCAATAGAAGTGTGATACAAGCCACATACGTAATTTTATATTTTCTTGTAATCCATTAGAAAAAGTAAAAATGGGGCATCTGCGTGGCTCATTCAGTTAAGTGTCCGACTTTTGATTTCGGCTCCGGTCATAATCTCATGGTTTGTGAGATCCAACCCCTCTTGGGATTCTCTCTCTCCCTCTGTCTCTCTGTCTCTCTCAAAATAAATAAACTTAAAAAGTAAAATGGAAACAGGGGAAATTAATTTTAATGTTATTTAACCCAGTATACCCAACACATCATTTCAGCATGTAATTCCTGTAAAAATGTTAGTAAGGTTTTTCACGTTCATTTCCTTTCTATTACATCATTGAAATCTGGTGTTTTTCATTTATAGCACGTTTGAGTTTAGACTAGCCATATGTCAAGTGCTCAACAGCCATATGATGGTTAGTGACTACTATAGAGTGTAGTGCAAGTCAATAGACTTTACTTATGCGGGGACTCTTAGGTGTGCTAATTTCTTACTCACAGCCTGTATTGAACTACTTAGAAAATTCCTGTGTGCACTTTCCACTGCTACGCTTATGCCTTTGGCTCTTTGATTCTTACTACCCAGAATAGCCGCCTGTGCCTTGGCTATTGTAAAGTCTTTATTCTACATAGATAAGCATTACAGTAGTCAGGTATATTAACTTCTGCAGTCAGACAGAATATACCCATTAAGCCCTTCTCTGGCTGTTGATAAATTTATGTCCTTGTGTCATAATGTCTGTAGTTCTCAGTTTTCTTATATTTGTAAAAAGGACAATAATCACCTGGACGCTGTTGGGATTAAATGAAATAATGTATATAGAATACTTAATACAATGCCTTACCCATAACAGCTCCTCAACAAATAGCTTATTACTCTGATTGCCAACTGTCACAGATCTACATATATTTTATTATAGTGCACGGATGTATTATTGAGCAGTGGCATCCGATGATTTTGCTTCTAATCATGGTTTAACCTCTCAATTCCTCTGTTGCCTGTGTAAGTTACTTATTCTCGCTCAGCCTATTTCTTTATGTAAAATGTTAACAATACCCACTTCTTAAGCTTGTTGTGAGAACTAAATGTGTACTTGTACTAGTTCAAGACCTGATATTCAGTAAATGTTACATTTTCCCCCCGGGACGGTAACTTTTATAAGCTTTATTATCCTCATTTATGAAAAGAAATGATGCATAAATTGCTGAATGTAAGGATTATAAATAAAATAAGATGCGTACTTGGCACAGTAGCTAATATAGTATAGACACTTCATGAATACTGGCAATTATTGCCTCTCTTCATCCTTGAAGACTAAGTTCCGAAGCCACTTTCTTGGGTGAGCCCTTCCTAACCTTACCAAGAAATAACTGATCACGCTTTTCTCATAGTACTTTGTATTTACCTTGGTCAGTCTTCCAAATATATAAACATACTTCCCCTCTGGTCTGAGAGCCCTTTGAGGTCAAACATTTTTTAATTCATCTTGTTATCTTTTCAGGCAGTCAGCATAGTGCCTGACACTTGGTAATTGCTTCCCTGAGTTTCCTTATATGTATATAATTTTTTATATGTATATAATTTTAAATCTTTATGTTCCTTTATTGGAGTAAGATTCCTGACCGGTATAGTGATGTATTACTAAACATGACCTGTGCAGAAATTACATACTGTCCATCTAGACAGGTTTTCTTACACTTTACCTGTCGATGGAATAGTTCCATTTATAAAGTTTTACGCATCAAAAAGCTTTGAATTTGACCAGGCTGTTCATGAATTCATCTCTGAAAAAGTTAAGTAGCATTTAATTTTAGCTACTATAATTTACAGCATTAAAAAGTTTATGCATTAGGTAGCTTCCCAAAATGTTATTCTATGCACAGTGGATTTAGCCGAGCCGAGCCCGTCATTCTCACCCAGAGTCACACAGACAGGCCTCTCTTGAGAGCTACATGCTAAATAGCTAGCACCTGGAGACAAAAGTACTCTGGAGTTTACCACCAGTACGGACTTCTTGTCTGAGAGTCTGTTTTCTCAGCCCAGTTTCATAGTGTCAGTGAAGACATGCCAGCAACTGCCCTTTGTGTAGTTGGCATTAGAGCACCTGGTCTGTCTGACGGTGGTGGCAGGCACTATTATTATATCCAGGTAAATAAAGGCCCAGTTTTAAAAATGCCGATTTGGGATACAAATCAAGGGCACAATGTAATCAGAACTGACTTTTGAGCAATCTGGTACCCCAACTGAGGTGGAAGATTTCAGAAGCTGATGGCAAATTGTACCCACGATGGTTCCCAGATTTGGAGATATTAATACATTAATTCCAATCCCTTTCTCAAGCCCACATAAGCCCTGAGGTCACCCTGCAAAGTGCGTATCAAAAAATATGGAGTCAGGGTGGCAAAGTTTGACAGTACATTATACAAGTCACACTTGGAAAGTCATAATTAAATACATCTGTTCTGAGAGAAAAGCATCACATCCTTTTTGTACAAATTTAGTTTTATTGTAAGAAAGCAATTTGTACTTTTAACATTTAAAACCGAGCATCATCTTTCCTTCCCAGAAAAACAAAAAGAAAATTTAAAAATAAACAACAAAATTACAAGAGAATGTCAATTCCAAATAAGATGCTACAGGTTCTGCTGATTCTCCCACCGAGTGGCATGGCTCAAGTTATCATTAGGAGAGAATCTTATCTTAAAAGTGTCATCTTCAACTGCAAGGATGTCTGTTAAACATCACAATTAAACATGCCACAGTTGAAGCCATGCTGTCAAAATGCCCACTCAGGCCACCCAAACAGCTCAAAACCACCGTTTGCTGACCTTCTATAATCCCATTTTTAAAAGTTTTTTTTTTCTTTTTCTTTAAACAGGAGAAAGTAGACAGACACATGGTGGTAAATGCTAACTGTCCACATTCACACAGAGACACAGTGTAATCTGTGGGCCCAATATACAGAGAAAGGAGGAAAAAAGCTAGAATTCTCTGCACTACTACACAGGGGCCTAACACCCTCCAGCTTCCAGCAGAGCTAAGGGAGCAGAAGGTTTCTCTTTTTTCCCCACAGAGCACAGTGTAGATGTCATAAAATTTTTGTTTAGACAAAACTTTAAAAGGGATAAAAATGAACTTGGAATAGAAAGGGGTAGAGAGTCCTGTATTCTGCTCAAGGTATTCTCCCATCCCCAAATAAGTAGAGAACCATGGTATAAAGGGAGAGTAAAGAGAGTTCCAAAAACAGGGCAAATGAGGGGCGCCTGGGTGGGTCAGTAGTTACATCCAACTTGGGCTCCGATCATGATCTCACGGTTCATGGGTTGCAGCCCCACGTCCGGCTCTGTGCTGACACCTCGGAGCCTGGAGCCTACTTGAAATTCTGTGTCTCCTTCTCTGTCTGCCCCTACGACTCCTACGCTGCGTCTCTCTCTCCCTCTGAAAAATAAACAAACATTAAAAAAGATGAAAAACAGGGCAAATGAGCACAAGAAAAAGCGGGGGGGGGGGGGGGGGGGGGGGGACGGGGACAAAGACTGCAAGTTGCGCCCGGGAGCTGGAGAAGACTGAAAAGGGAAGGCTGGAGTCCATCAGTGTTCCATTAGTCACCTTCTTCCCCCTCGTCGTCTCCTTCTTCCCCCTCGTCGTCTCCTTCCCCCTCGTCGTCTCCTTCTTCCTCCTCTTCATCTTCTTCACCTTCCTCCTCTTCATCTTCTTCACCTTCCTCCTCCTCTTCTTCACCTTCCTCCTCCTCTTCTTCACCTTCCTCCTCTTCTTCCCCTTCCTCCTGGTTGTTATCGACATCATCGTCGTCATCGTCATCATCTTCTTCCCCTTCTTCGTCATCCGAATCAGAAAGCAAGTAGTACTGCAGTGGATTTGGCCAGATATCCTCTTTGATGAGCTCTCCTAACACATCGGCATCCGCATCAGAACGGTCAGTGAACCAGGTGAAAAAGCTCTCTGGTTCCTCATACTTTCTCTTCCGGCCGCCTTTATCCTGCATTTGACTTGGACGTTTCGTCAGATCCTTCCCAGGTTTCCATTTGACTTCAGTGAACTCTGAGGACGGCTCACCGTACTCACTCAGACGAAATTCTCTGGAGAGAACTTTATTTTCGAAGTAAGGGTTTTCGTCAAAATAGAAATCGATTCTGAACCCTGACTTGATATCTTCAGATTCCGTCACCTCAACTCTTGCCAGATAATGCAGCGCCTCTTCATCTTCCTCCCCAAGCAGGGCAGACACTTCTGGATGGTTGATAAATGTCATCGCCCAGAAATTGGGGATTCTGGCGATCGCTTCCGACCTCTGCTGAAAAAATGGCTGGCGGAGTTTGTTGTATTTCTGTTCGATTTTCAGAATCTCCTCACTGGCTTGCTCATTAAGTGTGTCGATTTCATTTTGTACTTCGTCGATACGTTCCACTGCTTCTTGCTGTTCTTTTTCTGAGGGATCGTCAGCTTCGTTGTCGTCGGAGTTGAGCTTTTTACCGAGTTTGGCCGGCGGCGCCCACATGGTGCTGCTCCGCGCTCGCGGTGGGGGGCGGGGAGGAGAGACGGAAAGGCTGAGGGGGCGGGCAGCGGCTTTTCCCTCACGCCACGCGCGCCAACCGCCACACGCGCCGCACGCGCCGCCGCTCGCTCGCCCCGTCCGCCTCCTCCCGGCGCTCGGCCGCCTCCTCCCGGCTCTTGCTCGCTCTGCCTCTCCGTGGCCCGCGCGCGCCTCCTGACGACGTCACGGCGTGACGACGAGGAGGGGGCGGGGCGTCGTGCCGGCCCGGCTCCGCCCCCTGCTTACGGAGGCGAGGAGGCGCGGTACCTACATTGATACATTCCTGAAACGTGTACAGATCAGTGTTTGGGGGAGAAAGACAGCATCGCGATAGCGATCAGGGACTTTAGTGTTAGGTAATCTTGGGATCGAATTTAAACTGCCATTTTGCAGCTTGTGTGTTATTGAATAAGTTGTTCAACCCCTCCTGGCCTCAGTTTCCTCTTCTGCAAAATGAGAATACACTACCACCCTGCTAGAATTTTCACAAGGCGTATGTGAGGTATTGTCTTTAAAGCACTTACCCCAATTCTTGTCGCATAATAAATGGTCTGTATGGAGTGTATGCAGAGTTGCATCTTTGTGAATTAGCAAATTAAAGTGAAAAAAACTTTGCAGCCTGGGTGGCGTACTGTTGTGTAATTCTGCGGTTTGTTTATTCAGTGCTTTGCAGACTTTTTTGCATTTTCTCTTTTTCTTAATTATCAGATGGGCATTATTTATAAAGCTGAAGCATATTTTTAGAACTAATGAAGAAGAAACTATGAAGTTAAAAAAGTAGTTCAGGGTTCTATGGTAAAATTTGTTAAGCCAGTCAGAAAAATAAAAAGGTCTTTCATTAAGAGTGTTTTTTAGCAGAACTCTGGTTTTCTGAATCTCTCAGGAGAAGTAATAGGTTATTGTTAACAATTGATTCTTTACAACAGAGCACATAAAGGGAAAATACTACGTGAGGGGTATGAATAAAAAATATTTTATTGGAAGATTTCTGATACTTTCCCTTCATGTCCTTAAGGATCTTAGACATTAAGAGTATATATTCTGTATTGTCTAGGGAAATTTTAGGTCAGGTCTGTGTTTATTTAAGAAGAAAACCCTAATTGTCCTTAGAATTTCTATTTCCATAGTATGGAAGATTTTTATCCAAACAAAAATCATGGCCCTGACTCTGGGATTGGAAGTGATAATGGAGAGAAACGATTATCTACAACAGAAGTGAGTCTTTTCTATTGCTGATCTATTTTATTAAAAAGTTGTGTTAGAGTTTTGAAATAAGTAGACACTTGTGCACACTTGATTTATTTTGTTTAAAGATACGATCATTATTGTATTTTATGACTTTAGATGAAAAAAGGACACATTTTTAGAAGCAGAACAGTAAACCTTAACATATTAATTTTTGGTTTGAGAACTGGAGATGTAAAGCAGATATTCTACACTTATGTGAAATTAAAGTAATTTAATCCTTATTCTATGTTTAAAGTGCCTCATTTGTACTTTGTACTTATTCCTTTCAGCCATCAGATGACGACACAATCAGCCTCCACTCTCAAGTCTCAGAATCAAATAGAGAGCAGACATCAAGAAATGATAGTCACTCAACTGGAAGTAAACCTGATCCTCAGAAAGGTAATTCATATGGCGCCTGCTATTTTGTTTTAATTTTTTAAAAATATTTATTTGTTTTTGAGAGAGAGAGAGAGAGCGAGAGCACGCACGAGCAAGTGGAGGAGGGACAGAGAGAGACACACACAATATCTGAAGCAGGCTCCAGGCTCTGAGCTGTCAGCACAGAGCCTGATGCGTGGCTCAAACTCATGAGCGGCGAGATCATGACCTGAACTGAGGTCTGATGCTTAACCCACTGAGACACCCAGGCGCCCCTATGTTTATTTCATGTATATTGCTTTTATAAAAAAATGCATTTTGAAAAATGATAATATCTTTGGCCAACTCTTTTATTGAGAAAATATACTTTTATTCTAAACACTATAGTATGAGAGCACACTGTTTACTCTTTATATGTTCTAATAAATATTAATCTATATTTAGATCAGGAGGTATATGATTTTATTGATCCCAACACAGAAGATGTATCAGTTCCTGAGCAAGGAGATGCACATATTGGATCATATGTCTCTTTCCTTAAGGTACATAAAACTTTGAACAAATATTAATAACACACTCTCCTTTAGCTCACAAAAGTACACTGCACAGATTTAAAATGGTAATTTTCTTTTATATAAGGGAAAAGAAAAAGGTCCTGAGAAATCTCAGAAAAATGAAGAATTGGGAGATGAAAAAAGGTAAGCACACATGAATCCTCCAATTGAAATGTAACTCATACATGAAATATTTGTTAGGTGTTTCTACTTGAAAGGGTACTTCAAAAGAATGTAATTCTTGGTTCATTTACCTTTTATGTTCAGATAGTTAATTTAGAAGTACTTCATTTGTCTGCATTCCTCAGTTAAACTGAAAATGATAGTAATCATTTAAGCTGAGTGTAGTATATACATTTCCCCCCCGCTAAGAAGTGTAATAATTCTTTTATTACTGAGGAAGACTGCACCTTCACATACATTTGGTTTGTTCGAGCTATTTAGCAACTCTTGAAAATAAATGATTTTTTGCATCGTTTGGCCAATAAGAAAATAGACCTGGAGTTTCAAATGTCTGGAACTGAGGTGGTTCAGCTCTTTGTCTAATACACTTGCCATTTCATCAGAATGGTTATAGTAATTTTAAGGGTATTTACTTCTGTGTTTTATGAAAATAATTGTACTTTAGGTCTTTTCTGTATCATTTATCTTATGAAATGATGGAGTATGACCTGCCACATTCAGTCACTCCTTAAAGTTGCTTCACAGCTGTAGGAAGGAAGGAAGGAACATTTGTTGTGTACCTACCATGTACCAGGATCTGTGCTGTGTGCTTTCCCATGTTTCTTCTTTATTTACTTTTACAGTTTTTTATTTTGTTTTAGTAATCTCTATACCCAGCGTGGGCCTCGAACTCATGACCCTGAGATCAAGAGTTTCATGCTCTTGCAACTAAGCCAGCCAAGTGTCCCAAAGATTATTATATAGTTTTTAAAGTTTTGTTTAAGTAATGTCTACACCCAACATGGGTCTCAAACTCATGGCCCTGAGATCAAGAGTTGCATGCTCTTCCTGCTGAGTCAGCCAGGTGCCCCTCATGCTTCTTACTTAACCTTCACTAAATTCTGCAGGGTTAGTGCTGTCCCCATTTTTACAGATGAGGAAGATGAAGCATGGAGACTCTAAAGTTTCTTGCCTAGAACCACTTAGATGGTGTCCACTAGAACCTACGGTGTGACCCTAGCTGTTTCTGATACCCAAGCTCTTATCTTTTCTCTCCGTTGTGCTTCCTCCAAATGACCTCACTGGTAATTTTAGGCAGTCTTGAATTAATCATCTCTGCTACCCCATGAGGAGGTACATTGCTTTGTCTCATACTCTTTATGTTTCATTCTTCTCATACTTTCTCACCTTACCTCATGAAGACCGTTGCCTAAACTTGAGGGTCACAGTGGCATACAAGATACGGTGAAGATACAGAGTTCTAGGATTTGATACTGTGTTTGAAATGAAATACCTCTGGGATAAAATTATTAGAGTTTGGAGAACACCTTATTTAAAAATTCCTTTGTTCTCTTTGATTAAAAATTATGTATTTTAATGAACATTTTCCTGCAAATTTGCCAGTCTTATTTGGACCTATTTTGCCTTTCCTGTACGTAAACATTTTACATAGAGATTTTAACATCACGGTGAATAAACCGATAAAGGCAGGGAAATTGAGTAAAACTTTCATAACATTTGATATTGATAAAGACAGCTGTATAGAGCTGTGGAGTTGTTATTGCACTCAAGACTGGGGAGTACGCATCGTTAAATTATACATTTCAGACGCTACCAAATGGTAATACAGTTTACTTTGTTAGCCATTTATTCATATCACTAGTATGATACATTTCCTATTGACTAGAGGATAGGCATGCTTTTATATTCCTTAAATATTCCTTACTTCTTATTTTAATGTATTTTATTAAATACAGTGACATTAGGATTTTAGCTTTCAGTTGGTACTAAAAACGAACAAATGGTTTCTTCTGCTTCTGGAAGCTGGCATAAAATGTCATCTGCCTTACTTTTTGGATAACCATGTTTGTGTCACCTTTCAGACTTGGGAAAGAACAGTTACTTGCAGAGGAAGAGGATGATGATGTGAAGGAAGTAACTGATTTGAGGAAAATAGCCGCTCAGTTATTGCAGCAAGAGCAGAAGAACAGGTATTTTTTTCAGTAATGAGATTTAAATAGGCAGACATTATAATCATTAAATTATTATTCAAAGATTATCAAGTAAGTTTCCAGTAAACAATAGGACCTTTTAAGATCCATGTCAAGGGGCTAACTATTAAAAGACACTGGGAAATACTTAGGAGAGAAGTGTCAAGTTACATAAATAATTAACAAATACTTTATACCCACATAGTCATTTTACTTAATTATTGTGTAGGTGTCTCTTGTTTAGTCCTGTGTGCTAAATAGTAGTAATTGGTCTATTTATTGATACTCATTTCAGCTCACAATAGCATTAGATACATTATAAGCATTTTTCCCCAAGTACATGTCCTGTGTATGTAGTGTGCCTTGTATGAGATTCCAAATTGGATGGAATCACATAACGGTTGATTAAATCAGCATGATGATTTGAAGGTCACAGGTTCACTTTGGTCTGTTTCTTGGTCAGGGAGGATTTCTCCCTCTGGCTAGGCTTTCTCCAGATACATGCCATTGGCGATAAGAAAGACATTATATGAATGACTATAAAATCAGTGCAAGTCCAGTTTTAATACAGGAGAAGTTCTGTGCGCTGCTCACGGTCAGCTGCTCTTGCATCTTCATGTAGTGAGAGTACCACATTTATAGTTTGGAA